GCAATTTTGAAGGAGAATGGTCAAATACAGATCTTTCCAGAGGCCCCCAAAAATCCTTCTACCGCCCCCAGGGGGGCGATATCGCCCACTTTGGGAACCACTGGTCTAGTGTATTAAATAATAAAATTTGATTTTAATTAATTGTTTAATTTAATTCTACAGCTTCAACTGGAAAAAATGAGCATCATAGGAATGAAAGTAAAACTGTCATTCATACATCACAAATTGAATGACAATGAATGGATTTGATAGGTATTTTATTAATCCTGTTTATATATAAGAACGGAAATGACGCTTCCATTTCAGAATGATAATGGAAATGTCCCTACTATTTCAGAAACTTTTCTTGAATACACTTGCGAAAACTAAAGTTCTGTAATCAATGGAGTCTTCAAACTGACAAAATCATTCAATTTAAAATTTTTAGCTATATGAGTGAGATTGTCAATCATCATAGAAGCTGTAAGAAAAAATTTGTTTTTTTTTTTTGATGTAAAAGAATGTTTTTAAATTAAAAGAAATGCAATACTTGATTTTTGGAAATACGATGCTAAAACTAATGATCCGTATCAGAATTCAATAGACGTTACGCTTTCAGAATTGATTTGAAAAAGTTTATACCTATTTAGAATTTATAATTTTACAAATTGCATAGCGCAATGCATAAATTCAAGATCACCTATGAGTATGGATTCAAGTCTCATGACTGGAGAAGATTTCAAAATTTTTTGTACTATCACGTATGCATGATATAAGCTTTTTGTCCTTTCAATGAACAAGTTTATTTAGGTTCTATTGGCCGCAATGGGTAGAACATTGCGACATATTAGCGGCCAACAATAGATTGGCCATCGGTTGGTTATTTCCAACAATTGGTTGGGTTGCGGGTTGATGTTTGGCTTTTGATGATGCTGATTAATGGTGTACCATAAAATGGGGTTACTTTGACCGGCGGGGTAACTTTGACCACTTTTCGTTTTTTTAACAAAAACCCCCAAAACTCAAAAACAATTTGACATAGAAAAATTTTGTCAATGGCCATCAAAGGCCTAATACTGAGGAACACAATAGAAAGATTTAAAAAGTTTGCATATATAATAGGTTAAAAAATTAATAATGGGACCCACGAAAAGAGTTATTATTTAAAGCCTGTTGGAGTACCCCCTCCAATTTTTTTATTTTTTGGTTAAATAACTCCAGGTTTTGATGTATTGTAGTAGAACTCTTCTAGTTACATATGTGAAAGACAAATTTTAGGAAACTGTCATAGTTTGCAAATGGGGGCGCCGCCCCCCAATGGGGGAACTTTGACCACCTAATGGCAGCCGTGACGGGGTTACATTGACCGGCTTGGAAATTAAGTTAAAATTACCATAGGTACCTATATAACATATTTTATGTTCGATACACCTATTAAAGTTTTTTTCTTTATGTTTCAGACTCTACAGAGTCTTATATGTGGTAATTTTAACTTAATTTCCAAACCGGTCAATGTTACCTCGTCACGGCTGCCATTAGGTGGTCACATTTCACCCATTGGGGGGCGGTGCCCCCATTTGCAAACTATGACACTTTCCTAAAATTTGTCTTTTGCATATGTAACTAGAAGAGTTCTACTACAATGCACCACAACCTGGAGTTATTTGGAGTTATTTTACCAAAAAATAAAATTGATTTTACCACCCGGTCAAAGAAACCCCAAAAGCTGGGGTAACAAAGACCATCATTTTTTTTTTTAATTACATCAAAACTATGAGAGGCAGGAGCCAGGAATTTATGTTGACCAAAGCTAGAGTATAGACCTGTATTTTGCAGGTTTCAATTTAAGTTTAACTTAACTAGTAAAAAAAATGGCATCATTTTGAAAAAAAAGTGGTCAAAGTTATCCCATTTTACGGTATGAGTTTTGATGGTAAGAGTTTTGATGCAAAATTTTTTATTTAAATCAATTATAAATCAATTTGCAATTGTTTAATCCCTCTTATGGATATAAATAAACATCATTCAATTTATTTCAAAAGCATTGCATAAATGAGCATTAGAATATTTTCTATGAATAAACCAAGTCAAAGTAACAAAATAATTTGTTTGAATTTTAGATTTATGCAAAAATAGTTCAAACCTCTATCAGAAACAACATAATTAATCATTCTCTTGCACTAAATATACAAATGATAGTTGATTAGTTGGACTCGTTTCCCGCTATATTATGCACAATGATCATCCCGCTAGATTATGCACTGTGAGGCGGGAATGAACTATGAAGCTAGTTCAGTTGACTGCTTGCTCTCACGATGTGTAGTTCCGCTTGCCTGAAAGGCTGAATTGCATGTTTAGTGTGCATCATGGAAAACTCTGCTTTGCAGTGTAGTTTTAATTACTTTATGAAGTTTAGTTCATTGCGGTCAACTTAAGAGACAAATCTTCAGCTAACTAATACTTTTTATGAGTTTAATTTTAATTGTTGAATGAAAGGTGCAGGCATGCAAGTTCTAAGTGATTACTTTATAGCAGGGTTAGTGATTTTTTTTTTTATTTTATAAAAAAAAGATATTTCTATTCATTTGATTTTTTGTCTTTTTGAAAGATTATTTTTTATGTTGAAATTAGCCTACTAATAATAACACTATATATGGATCATAATGGATGGCTAAAAAGGGCCCTTACTGCCTTTAATAATGGCCAAGGTGGTGTTTACCACTTTGGGAGTTTTGGGTAAACAATTATTGATAAGTCTGTTCATTAGCTTTGTAAAGTATGTATGGAGCAAGGGAATGAGCTAAATATTGACCATTTAACTGGCTTCAATGTACAAAACCACTTCAGAAATGCAGATCTTCTAAACATTGAAGAGTCACACAACAGATAGGTAGCTGATGGTGCAGTGCACAGCACAATCAATAGATCTACTAGTTTTATGTCCTATAAATCTACCAGACTCTACCCTCTCTACACACCCAACTAGTAGTGACTGAGTGACTGACTGCGCTGTTCCCATTTAATTCAGACCAATAAACCAATACGAACGTAAACTGAACAATAACCAAACAAACCTCAAACGACTTGAAACGAGACTAAAGTTATGAGAAAAGCTAACACTGTTTGAAATAAACATGTGCACAATTCAAACATTTTATTTCCATTCACTGCATTTAATTATTTCATATATAGTTTTATAATTGTATTTGTTCTGTTTCTAGTTTTAAATTCACATATTTAAAAATTGAAATTAAATATTTTAATTAGAATACTTGTATTAGGGTGGAAAATTTTTAATTGCCTAAAAGGTCAATCCAACTTCAACCTCTCAATATACAGGGTGGGGCAGAACCAATTGAGCAGTTTTAAGGCAAAATAAAAGAGTAATGGAGGTACATAAATAAGAAAGTTTATTTTCCAAGAGGTTAGCATAGCATACCATTTAGAATACTTATGTTTTGAAAACAATATCAGGAAGATGGTGGCCATTAGCTGCAACAAACTGTTGGAGTCATTCTCAGAGGAGGTAGTAACTGTGACAGTGAATTCCGATTGCTATGCTGCAATGTTGCAAAATTTCTTGCAGCCCAGGCCCCAGGATGGAAAACATTGTTGAAAATGAAGCATTGTGAGACATGTGGTTCCAGCAGAATGGGGCTACAGCTCACACAGCCCAAATTTCACTCAATGTTTTAAAACGCATGTTTCCCGGAGGTCTGGTGTCTCTGAGGGGTGATTTTTTTTTATTTCTCCTCAAAACTGCTCAATCGGTACTGCCCCACCCTGTATAAGCTATCAAACAATTTAAATTGCATACCGTCAACCGGGGCTACTTGGGACGGTTTTGAGCGTTTTTTGTTAATAACTTCTTACCATGAAACATTTCATAAACAAGTTTAGGCTCATTTTATAGCTCTTTGCGAGGGCTATCAAATGGCATCTTCAAAAAAATTCCATATGCTATTCGTAAGGTGCCAGAAGCAAAAAAAGATTGTCCCGAGTAGCCCCGTCGAACGGGGCTACTCGCGACACTTGCAATAAAACTTCATTTCAAAACATTTGAAGCATGCAGAGCGTACTCATCCATTACTAACAGTACTCTGATGTCCTCCTCTTTCATTGTAGATGATGTAGAGGTAGAATAAATGACATTTTCAGTGATTTTTACTTGTTTTTCCCCTATTGATGATATTACCATAAACATTAATTACCATCAACTGGGGTGACTTGGGCCACGTTTTTGATTTTGTTTTGCAAACAAAAATGGGGTCATAAACGCCGGGGTCATAAACGCCAGGGTCGTAAACAAGGTCATAAACGCCGGAGTGACTTTGGCCATCGTTTACGACCCCACTTTTGTTTGCAAAACAAAATAAAAAATGGGGCCAAAGTCACCCCAGTTGACATGGCATTTTGAAGCGATCACTGCTTCTTTAGAGACTGACCATCGCACCACACAACATACTAGCACCTTCCCAAACAAAAGCTGGTTCAACACTGGACAAAATAAAGGGGTTGGTCAGTCCTGTCAGTAGCTAGCTGTAGCTAATACAACTTTTTTACCATTTTTTCAGGGATTTTTTAAAGCTTGTAAATCTATGATTTCTTGGCTTCCTTTATGCTACATCAGTGGTTCCCAAACTTTTTTAGGCTGGCACCCCCCATGGCTCCCCAGTGAATCTCTAGCAACCCCCCCCCCCCTGACAGACTTATCTAAAAACAAACGCCGCTTACTTGATATTTATTATGCTGCAATTTCGAAAGAGAAAAGCTTGACACAGATCTTTCCAAAGGCCCCCTCAGATCTTTCCATTGCTGCCAGGGGGGCGATATCCCCCACTTTGGGAACCACTGTGCTACATGGATAAGAAAAATGTTGATGTTCAGGCCACTAGTTTAAGTTTTGCAATATTTAAATTAGTTTTTTTGTTATAACATTTTTACGCCATGGCAGAGGACTGTCCTGATTTATCCTGCCCATCCCTTATTACCCTGTTTGCGGTTTGACTGTATATAAGTAGACATGTTAAATTGTAAGAATGGTTTTGTTACATGTTGTATTGAAATTATATGGCAGAAACTCAACTTAACCTGCAAATAGACTTTTCCTGCTCATTGCTAGTATGCTGTAGCTTGATTTTTAATTTTTAAATAGAAACTCAACAAGTCAAGCTGAGCTGCTTCTGAGATGGAATGTCAAGGTGAGTTCCAGATCCCATTTATTTTTATTATTATTATTATTATTTATTAAAATGCCTCATGATTTGTAGCAAGCTTTTTTTCCAACCTTTGCCTATTTTTGAAACATTTTATATTTATATATATTACAACTACAGTGATATCACTTGACCAATTTCATGCACTTGTTTATAATAACTACTGCTGTTGCAAAAAAAACTCGCAATGTCTGCCTTATTGTATTTTTCAATTCCCCTACTTAAATTGTGGCTACCTATGGATGAAGTTAGTACTTGCATGAAAGCTGCTACTTTCATCCAAAATACCTGTATTAACATCTTGATTGTACAAATCAATTCCTCACTTTTTTCTTCATGCTTTCATTAAATTTTCTCTTCTTCTTATGTGCTTTAAAATTTGGTTAGAGGTTATTTTGTATTCTAATTAAGGTTTGGGTTTATATATACTTACTATGTGAACCAACACTCAATCACACAATTTGAATAATTTAAACAAATTATTCCATTTCATCAGAAACAAAGTTACATGCAGCACTTGACTGATCAATTAAATGTAGTTCATTTTCCCAGCCAGTCATATAAGGAAATATTGTGCTCATCATGAATGCAGAGTAGAAATAGAAATATGGTAATAGCACATTTTCTCTGACAAAGGTACTGTGATGCTGGCACTGATCTTGTAATTGTGCACTGATTGATTTATGTGCTTGTGCAGAGTAGCTTAACCTCTGCAACAAAGAGGATTTAAGCTAACTATGCTAATGATTAATGATTTGTTAATGATTTGTAATAGCTTATGCCAAAAAATGACTCAAACTGCATATAAAAATTACATTTTTTTTTAATTAACTACTGTTCTAATTTATGAAGTACATAAATCATTGCAAATTGTAGATTTAATTTATCTTATTAAGGCGCTCATTACAATAATTGCAGGTTATAGTTTGTGAATGAAAATTTTATGACATAGGAAAAGCATACAAATTAAAATCATTTGAGGTCAGTTTACTGTATATTGCATCATTAGCATCAATTTAAGACTGATAAAAGATAAATGTTATACCTAAAATACTTGTGTAAGATAACTTGAAGACATTGAATATGTGATTCATTGATAGGAGCAAAATAATTTTAGGATGGCTGTAAGCTACCTTTCCACTTGTAATTACAATAACAAGTTATCAAGTTACTGTACTTGTAATTACAAGTTACAAATACCACTAATATATATATACATGTCTTTCTTTTTAGTGTATTTCCTCACTTATGGAAAAATGCTCTATTGTGCTCGCCATGATTGTCTGTCTGTCTGTTCATCTGTCTGTCCATCTGTGACTTCACCACATTTTTGTCAATGAGAAAATGTGCTCTCTGTCACTCACTGTGCCGTTGTTGCGGTCCGGTCAACAGGGGTTCACAAAAGCTATGTGAAGATTAGCTCAATCACCCTAAGATACAATACCTAGCTAAGCCTACCTCCAACCCTGAGAACAAATTTGGGACAATGAAACAGGTAATTCCCAAACAACACTATACTTAAACTAAGAACACAGTCAAGAGCCATTAGTACAAGATAATCCCGAGGGCACCAAATATCCTTCACAGGATAAGCTNCAACACTTTTTATACCTACAGGAGATTTACAAGGTTCCATTGTATGATTAGGCAGGTTCAGAGATTCTAGTGCTTTTCTGCTTATGAGATTAATTTGAGCTCCTGAATCAAACAGTGCACACAAATAATGGTTGTTGCACTCTATAACAATCACTGTGTATTCCAGATCATGTGAACAAGAAGAAGCTTCAGATTTGGTAACAGCAAAAGTCACTTGAAGGTTCTCGGTTTCATCAGAGTCTTCTTCAATGATGGTTGGCAAGAGTGGTCTCTCCTGGCGTGGTTCCAGTTCAGGGTTATATGATCGGTATTCTGACAGAGGGTTATAATGCACCCCAGATATGCTGTCTCTTATACACATCTAGATGTGTATAAGAGACCAGGCAATGGGGCAGGTAAGGCAAGCAATTAGGTGCAGGCAAGGATCACTAAGCGTGATAAGTGGTGTGCTTATTAAACTTAATCGAGACTCTTAATAGTGCATGCTAAACTTCAAACATGATGATAAGTCAGAAGCACTTGAAATTCTCAGACATTGCATAAGGTTGCATGCTCTAACTAGTGAATTATTGATGGAGAACAACACCTGAAATAAATACAAGGGAAGGAAACATTCATTAATAATAACAGTCACAAAAGCCCTAAATTAAATGGAAAGAGCAAACCATATCAGGAAGCATAACCTAAAGTAAGCAATACACCAAAGTGCCAGGAATGAAAGTAAGAACCTATTAATCTAAGATTAAGCAAGAGGAGCAATATGCTCCTCTTCACCGTGAGTACTGAGTTATATTTTTTCACCATATGTCTGGTTCTAATGTGATAAGTTTCATTTCAGGTGATGCTGTAATAAAGGTGAGAGCAGAATGAGTGAAAAAGTTGGAGATGTTGAAGTCTTGGTGGGTGGAGGCAGCGATGGTCTTGATGGAGGCGTTAATGACTCAACCAGCACATCAGCAAGCTTGGGGACATCAGCTCCCTCTTGGCATAAAGCTAAACTTACTCTGCAGGTGACTCAGCAAATTGTGTAGCCATCCATCTTGTTCCTATACTTGCCACTGTTAACTTTGCTGCATCTAAATTCTGGTCTTGCATGTTATCAATAACTAGTTTCCTCTCATTCTTTTTCTTTGTTTTCATATTAAAAGAAGAATGTCTAGGTAGCCTATGTTCATTGTACTAGAATGCTGGACTTTTTCAATGACCTAATTTTTTTTCATCTCATCTTGACTTTTATATGCAAGGATTTCAGCCAGGTGTTCAGCCACTAGAAATTTGTGGTTAGTTGTTTTTATGAGATGTCCTGTGTTGTAAACGGGGCTGCGTTATATTGCTCATGAAATTACCTTATTTTTATTTCTTAAATCGATATAGCAATCATGAGTTGAAGCTGTAAATTTACTAGAATTTATTTGTATTAAAAAAAGCACACGTTCATGTACTACATATAAATCTGTGTGCTGGCTGCTAACTTCCTCTCTCACGCAGGGGGACCTGCTCTATGTGACAATCACCGACCTCGACGACATCACAACGGGAGGTACAAACGGCTGTGGTTTGGGGGACCCAGAGTCTGGGAGCGCCACCCCTCATGGAGAGCCTTCGGCCAGTCAAAAGAGAACTGTACGCATTGTAAAGGCAGACAACAATGGCCTCGGCATATCTATCAAGGGTGGTCGAGAGAACAAGATGCCCATCCTCATCTCTAAAATATTCAAGGTGAGGACTAACTTTAATGCTGGTCTGTACACGGATGTTATTAGTGAATGAATGCATCAAGCTTACCAATGGTACACTTGAGGAAACTTGTGAAGAAGTGAATTTTTAGCAAATATATTGCCGTGTGCAATAAACTAATTCTTGAGAATGTTTCACTGTATGCAATTCTTGTGTGGAAAGGTGATTTTTAAGCAATACTCTTGCCATGCGTAATAGGCGTAAACAAAAGATCATTTCACAGTATGAAACTCGGTAAAACAATGGTGAATTTTTGCTTCAAAGATCGTCCAAAGATCGATTGCATCAAAGATCAATTGCATCAAAGATCGATTGCATCAAAGATTGATTGCATCAAAGTTTGATTTCATCAAAGATTGATTGTGTGCAGGGTTTGGCAGCTGATCAGACGGAGCAACTCTACGTAGGAGACGCGATCTTGTCCGTGAATGACGAGGACCTGAGGGAAGCCACGCACGACCAGGCTGTGGGGGCTCTCAAGAGGGCGGGACAGGTCGTCACTCTGCAAGGTGCGACCCACTCTCTTACCTCCCTGTCCCATCATATTAACCCCCTGGAATTTCTCTGTAATGGTTGGATGTATATGGTATAAATGGTGTATGCTATTTAAATGTTTATGCTAAATGGAAGCATGATATCTGGGTAGCTATACTAAATAGATGTTGTATATCTGGATATCTATGGTATAATAGTGTATGATAATTGGATATCTATAGTTGAAAGGTGTCTTGTATTAGATTTAGATATCTATGTATGAAAAGAAGTACCTATGTTATTAGGATATCTATACTGAAAAGATGTAGGTATGGTATTAGGATACCTATGTATGAAAGGTGCGTGATATTTGGATATCAATGCTGAAAGTTAAAAATTACGATAAAATAATAGGAAGTACTATTTGTAAGAATATTAGCTTGATATTAGCTTATCTTGTATGAGATCATCGAAAAGATACAGTTACAATGAGGATAAAGTTTCTTAGAATTTAATTACTTATCCCGTTCACTACTACAAATTCTGTAAAGAAAATGACCGAATAAACTTATAAATAGCCCTAAGCACCAGATCTGCTTAGCAGCTTAGGAAGAAATAGTAATATTGAGGAATGCCATTATTTTTCTTTGCAATTGTAAAACTTTTGAATGATAGCTGCATCTATTTAGTTATTGTAATTTCTTTAATTTTCAGTCATTGTGCTGCTTACGTTAAGTAAATAAGGTGTTTATAACATTAAAATGTTCTATGCATGTTACTTTAATCTCTGCTACATAATATTCTATTGTTATTGTAGCTTAATTATAATTCTATCCTCATCTTACTCTTCTAGTTACATTTTTCAAGAGTAAAATTCAGCTATTTTTATATTAGAATTTGTTTGGATCTCTTATCGATATCAGTGATGTAATATCATGTATTATATCGATTGATAGGTAATTTATTTCATATAATTATAGGAGGTATAGGTTAAATCGTCGAATTGGATATGGAAACCATTTAATTTTTAATTGAAGCAGATGTAGGGCAGCAGACTGTAATAACCTGGCATCTCTTAAATGGCCGTGTAAAGCTGTAATGAATTGCTTGAGTTAAGTCAATCACAGGTAGAATGTTCTGAGTAATTTGTCTATAGTGATGTGGAATACAACTGCGGGATCCTAAACTTCAATCTATTTCGAACATCTGGACGTGTTTTGAACTAAGCATAATAGCAGAAACCGAGAAATCCTGTCTTTGCTGCATGTCGTCTCATATGCATGATTGTTTTACAAACAGCATCTTTAGCTGATTCATGCATGAAATTATTAGGATTCATTGTACCTTATTTTTTTTTTAATTTAAGCCTTGAATCAATTTTTTCATGTAAAACTGTTGTAAAAGTTCATTATCGTTGCATAGAGTGGTTCCATTATGCAATGCATAATCTGTCACTGTTTATCATTCATCTTTCAACAAAATAGACGTGATGAATACACCGCTTGAATGTTTGGTTTTTCACTATTTCGTTTTTCACTTCATTCATGTAGCAAGTACATGAATGAAAGTACCTCAAAATTGTCATTATATCTTTGATGGTTTTTAAATTGTAGTCATTCCCTGTTGCTTCCTGTTCAAGGCTCCGTTGCTTTTTATTTGTTTCTTGAGTTTGGTTTTAAAGCATGATAGTGTGCTGCCTCTAGCTACTTTCGTACTGCCATGTTATTACAGAATTTATAATTTGACCGAATAATTTGTCATCTCTTCTCTTTTCCCTTCATTTTTTGTTGACAAAACTTTTATGAACTTTTTAGATTTTAAAATACCTTCTCCGCTTGCCACATAGAATACGGTATTTCAAAATGCATTACCTAAACTATATCGTCTAACAATGTTCAGCGTTTTACTTTGATGAATTTCCTTATTCTTTGCTCAATAAATTTTCATTTTTAGAATGCGACACAAGCTTTTCTGAAAATCCAAAATTTTCTCAAATCTTCATTTTCTTTGGGACACCTCCACAATCTTAATCCTTCTCTGAGAAGAATATCAATTCTCCTTTGGGAAATCACCAACTCATTTGATGGTAAATATCCAGCTTAATTATTAAGTCTGCACCTTCCTCTTTATGAGTAAATACTTTCGATGTACGGAGCTTAATCTCAGTTCCACAACGCATCTTTAGCCCAATTGTTTCTTAAATCTATAACTGCTTTTATTAGTCATCACCTCCTAAGTATAGAGCTTAATTTCAGTTCCATGACGTGCATTCATTGTATTTCTTCCACCCCCGACACTGCTATGTCGCCGCCACCCTCGCACCGCCCCGCGACCCACGCCTCTCGTATTTATGTCCGCTGCTGTGTCATCGCTGCTCTGGTTTGGTTAAAATCCCATGCTCCTTTGAGTGTATCTGCTCAACGTAAAGTTTAATGCATTGTGAACTGTAAACATTTCCTTTTTCTTGCTATAAATCTTGAATTGCATGATACTCAATGGTGTTTATTCTTTTATTTCATAATGCATGATAAATGTGTTATTTTTGCTACATGATTACATGTGTGTTTCCTTCAATGTGCACTTTTGTACCTCCATAACTGACCGCGTACTTCGACTTGCTCACTACAGTGGTACCATCATTTTACCTGACAGTGAAATACCTGCGGGAAGTGACTCCATACTTCCGCAAGGCTTCTGTGCTAGCCGATGTTGGCTGGGAGTTACAGACCGGATTCCTCGGAGCCCAGAATGGATTTCTTGCAGGCCCAACGACCCCCAACACCAACACTAACAAGAGTACAAACTCTAGCAACTCTGTGAGCTCTGTAGAGAGCGCCGGCACAGCCGCTGCTAAGGAAAAGGAGCGCTCGACTTCCTCGCTCATCAACAGTCCTGACACGCGCTCCCTTACACTCCTCTTTTGTCACCTCACCAGGAACTACAAGTGTAAAGGTACTGCCTTCACTCAGGGGCCTCTTTTGAGAAGATTTGGTTTTTGTTGAGTTATATGAGCGATAAAGACATCTTATTTGTCTAGGTATGTCATATGTTAATTGCATTCTTGACAACTGAGGAAACTACCACTATGTCCCAATGTATTGCAAGCTTACCGATCACTATATGGTCGAGTAACGTGTGCGTTCAGTAATAACTGATTGAATAAACTTTCGTTTTACGAAATTCTTTCTTCGAGAAAGGAATTAGAATAAAAGTGAAAAATAATTTGCCACAATATTATTTGCTTCTGTTGAACTAAACCTAACCAACAAATTAACTGTTTAAGTTATTAAATATCTCCGGTTTGCACTGATGACAGTGTCGGCGACCGCTGTTTCTTTGCATTATGTTCATGTAAGTTGGACTCTCGATTAATGACCAGGCACTTGCAACTAATAAGTTGTTTGTAGTGAGATATTACTGTTAGTATTATTTCATGGGCGTTGTTACCGAGTCGTGACAAATTCTTAAGATAGAATCGAATGTTCAAAGTTAAATTACTGAAATGATTGTCGTGATATTATATCCTGTACGTCATAAAAACTTGATTTACAGAGAGCCATAGCCTGGAACTGCATTCACCGGACCGACTGCACTCACTCATAGTTCGCTGCAAGAGTGAGTCTGAGGCGGTGAGTTGGTACAACGCTCTACACACAACGCTGGACAAGCTCTCTGCTGCTGCCATGCTACACGCTAACCGACAGCTTCAAGAGGTCCTCGATAAAGCTGCCATCCACCACCTAGGCTGGATGATGCTTGCTATTGATCAGGTCTATATTGGTAGCGATTCATCAAGATTACCAAGATATTACCTTTAAAGCTTAGTGAACTATTGGAAAAATTGTTTTAATTTGTAATTTAACAACTATCGTCATACCATGAGGATTTGCACATAGCATAGGTATTTTCTTCAGGCTTCTTGTGCAACTGAAATTTATATTACGATTTTTTTTCTTCTCTCATTAAATGTAATGTTTGAAATTATTTTGCAAAGCTTTCTCTGGAGTATTTATTGAAGGGTCGCTGTTATAAGACGCACGTCTGTGATGTGCAGAGCACCAACGAGTGGGAGCCTCAGTTCTGTGCTGTGACCGACCACGACCTCATCCTCTTCCCTGATGTGCCCTGGACCCGCCCGGCCTGGGCCTCCCCATTGGTCTTCTACCCTCTGCTCGCCACTCGGTATATTGCTGGCCACTCGGCATCATGCTGGCCACTCGGTATATTGCTGGCCACTCGGTATATTGCTGGCCACTCGGTATATTGCTGGCCACTCGGTATATTGCTGGCCCCTCAGGGGGGACTTCTAACGTGTGTCTGTGCTCGTTAGAAGTCCTATGGGATTTCGCGCTCCTAAGGGGATTGTTCCTGAGCGCCCCACCG